AAGTAAAATTAAAACAAGGTTAAAATATAAATGCTAAATTAAGCTAAATCTTTGATACGTTTTTATAAATCCTTTGAGACTGTTGTGCTTCTGACTTTTTGATTTAAAGTTCTTTAAGTAGTAGATTAAGTAAGCCGTTTGTTCCAGGCAACTTCAATTACAATAGATTACAAAGTAATTCTAATTCAACAGCTAATAAGCGATCTTGGCCGCATCCGCTCATCATGGAATAATATTTTGACTGAAGCAAGAGCTGTTGCTGGTCCTCTAGCTTTGAGACGGAATTTTTGGCAAAACGAAAGAAGAGAGTGAAACGGTATAACAATGAACTTGAAAATGCAGCTTTCTGCTATCAGAGCCTCGAGCATCAATTTGAGGGAAACATCGTTAACGTCGCTCTCGATCATTTTATTTATTAAATTAAGTCAAGATTTGACATAGTAAAGAGTGTTTTTTAAAGGTTCTCATTCATCTGGCTGAAAAACCAGGAATCAGATTCTCAAGAGACCAAAGCTCGTCAATGTCAAAAAACACGACTTCATACAAGAAATTTTTCATCTTATTTGTTTGAGGAGTCTTCGTTTTCTATTCCTAGAAACTCATTGAACCTTCTTATCCAAATACATTCAAAGAGTCTACCGCCTATTTTTCCAAATATAAAGTTCGAATTAAGATATGATATAATATATCTTAATTCGAACTTTTAATACAATGCCAGTATATGTTGCAGAGTGTGAACGATCCTTTGGTAAACTAAAAATGATAAAGAATTATTGTAGAGCCACTATGGGACAAGAACGTCACTATGGGAACGTCTTTCGGATCTTATGATGTTTTCAGTGAAAAATGAGTTGGCTAAGACTCTTTCATATGATCATACAATAATAAATTTTGCCGGTAAAAAAACAAGAAAAAAGTGCTTTAAAAGTTATTGTTAAAAAACTGATGGGTCTATGGCCCCCACAACCAGAGGCAAAAAATGAAGGTGTGGGGGGGGGGGTTAAATACTTCAAAAGTACCGACTGGCTCCTTAAAAAAAAAGAGAGACAGATTATCAAAACTAAAATTTACCTGATTGAATTGTGTCAAATATCTGACAAATATCTGACTAGCCGACTAAGTTCGTTGAAAAACCGACTTTAACTTGAAAATTATCTTTGGGGGAGGGGGTGGAACAACCTTCACCTCCCACCCCCCTCCTCGTAAAATCGCCTTTATATCAAGAAATTAAATTGCAATAGTCACAAACATATTCGTGCATTATGTGCCATGCAAACATATTCGTGCATTATGTGCCATGCAGGCACATTGTCTGAAACGATACTACACACTGTGATATTCCAATAATGTGTAATCAAATGTGTTTTCAAAAAACGTGCAAAAATTGGATCAAGAACACGATTTGTGATTCACGGTTTGTTTCCTAAACCTACTCATTCTTCTCAAATTATACACGAGTCATTATTTAAATTCACTTGATACCACTAAAGTTAGCCTCCTTAGAGTAAAATGAGGTCTAATGGAATAGTTAAGGATTTTAATTAATTATTTTTTACGGAAAAAAGATTTTTTCTTTTTTTTTTTTAAAGTTGTTGAGAGTATTGACCTGTATTTAAATATATAAAGTTTTAACAATTTTTTGTAAAGTTTTTTATTAAACTTTGTTTGATTAAAAAAAAATTTATTCCATTCTACATTGACATTCGGGGATAATGAAATACGCAAATATAAGTGTAATTAAAACAACACTTGATTAAAAAAATAAAAAAGCAATCAATAATAACAATTAAAAAAACAATCAATAATAACAATTAAAAAAATCAATCAAATAAAACAAACATTTTTATTCTCGTGATGATGTTGAGCCGTTTAGAGGTACGAGAGGTTGAGTTGAGTTTTCACTTGCGTTGCACTTTTTGCAGCAATAAAACTCAGCGCTTTTTACGGTTGAATTGGTTTGCAGCTAATATTTTCGTTAGACTTGTTGCTTGGTTTATTTGCTGTTCTCCGTTAGAGCTGAGCTTAGGTTGTTTTTTAGCTTACTTTGCTGCTTTTTTGCTCTCAGTATCTTTCAACCTTTCAAGTATTTCAGGTTTGTCGAGACACTCCCCTTCGAATCTTACTTCTTCGAATCTTCGAATCTTCGAGACACTCCCCTTCGAATCTTACTTCTTCGAATCTTCGAATCATTTTTTCTTTTTTTTGTGTCAACGTGTTGGAAACGAAACATTTGTTGCAAAGCTGCTGCAAGGGATTGGGCTGATTGCAATTGTTTTGCAGCCTCTTTTTGAATTTGCTTTTGAATAACCGGAGTTACTACAATATTGAATGTTGCTTGCAGATAAGGTAACTTTTGAGATGAATTTAGAGATGATGCTATATGCTGATGCTAGATATTGTTGGTGTAGATTCAGAGAGCAGTTGTTGAGGTAGTGTAGTTCCTGGTGCTAGATTTGGTAATGGCATTATCATAGATTTTGGTTTTTGAGATGATAAAGCCTCAGGTTCAAATCTCGGTGTTTCAAATGTATTAGAAATTTGTAAATTTGACTGATCAGTTTTATCGAAAAAAGCTTTTACTCTGTATCTTGAATTATGCTTTCTAGAGTTATTAGTAAACTTTTACTTTAGGATTGAATCCTTTCTAATTTAGAAACAAAATACCTCAAATATATTCTCTGATGATAACCTTTTTTTGTAAACATTGTCCCAAGCTTAGCCAGCATTACTATGTTTTTATTCTTTCAAAAACTAAATAGAAAAAAACTTTTTGTTACACTGCTATTATTAAATTGAAACTTGTTTTGATGAAGCATTCTTATAGAAAATGTTGGTGTGTTATAGAGAATGTTAGTGTATTATAGAGAATGTTGGGGTGTTATTATAATAAAACAAGTTGGTATTTTAATTCAACCGGTATTAGCAACAATTTTATCGGGCTTGACTCTAAATCTTTTTAATCGGAATGTTATAGTTTGCTAAAAATTGTACACAAAAATAGTTGTTGTTGTTTTACCCATCTTAAATTAGATATTAACTTTCTCAAACGTGTCAACAACGCATTAAAAAAGTGATACTGTTATTTAAACTTTTTATTTCAACTACAATCAAGCATTAAAATTACTTGCCTTAATTACACTAAAAGAACGCAGAATCAGTTATGGTTTTATACTGCAATGTAAGGTTGCTTATCATTTATAAGAGGTTGAATTGTATATTTCACAAGAACGTCCTTTTTCTTTAAAATCAGCGTATAATTTATGAAAAAATAGCCAATATTAAAACCTCAAACGAATGGTTATCCCGTCAGTACTTTTTTACAAACTTTGTTGCAAACTGCTAGAATAAACCAGCAAAGGAGTTAGTTTATGTACCTATAGTGAACTCTTTAAAAAATGTTTTGTTGTTAAAGATGCTTTTTATTCGCAGCGATGTCCATCTTCAACATAGGAAAGCCTGATGTAGCATTATGATGTTGCATATTTTGAGTGTAGCTTTTATTGACGACTGTAATAAATAAATAAATAAAAACTTGAAATCATCAAATTTACCCAGAACCAATAAGTAGTGACTCAAGAAATTTCGGGTCAAAATATCATTACAAAAATAACATCAAAAATGCATCTAAAATATGAATACAAAAGTTATAATTTCAATTAATACAATTACAATTATAATTAGAAACCGGGTTGACTGGTAAACGTAACCGAATTGTGATGAATTAAATGGCACATCAAGATAGTAACAATACAACATATTGTTTACTTGGTTCATGAATACAGGATGCGACATAAATTTAAATAACTTTAAATGCGATGTAACACTGTACTTAAACGTTTTATCAGCGCATAAGCCTTGCTTATCAAGATTCGTGTTTCAGAGTTATAAAGTTGAGAGGGACTTTAATAACAATTTAAAATAAATAGTAGACTCCTATACAGCAGGGTTTTTCAACCTTTTTGCAGACAGGGTCATTATTTTATTTTGATGACAACACGAGGGCCACAAATTAAAAAAAATTGTTTCGTTTAACTTTCTAATTAAAAACAACTAATTCAATTTCAATATTGTCAAAAAAATGTATTTAATGGAAAATTTGGCATTGTTTACTTTTACACAAATGATCAATGTCAGCTTTTAAAGTGGATGATGAAATCCAAAGTGTATCAGTGAGATGTTCATCTTTCAACCTATGTCTCTGCTCTGATTTAACATGTGTTATTCTTGAAAAAAATTATTCGCAAATGTAAGTGCTTCTAAAAAGGAAAAAAAATAATTTCATGGCAATATTTTTAATATTTTCTGAAAATAAAAAACTTATTTGGTATGGGCTAATACCTTACTTTTCATCACTGATTGTTGTCAAACAAAATTTTTCTTTAGCAATTCCAGCTTACCAATACGAAATCGGACCATGAATTTATAAAAAGTTGCCGCATGTTTTGTAGCCGTCTATTAACTTTATACATTTTGCATACGGCAATTTTTTTCAAAACAAATTAGACACATAATTGAACCATTTTGCTCAATTTAAAAATATTCATTTGTCCAAGATGGATTAAATATACGACCTCCGTGTCCACTTTCAGATTTAACTCTACGTCTTTTATTATCACTAGTAGAAGCGATATTTAAAAATAATAAATAAAATATGGTTTCTGCTAACCAAGTAATCAATACCGTTTTAACTGATTTTTTTAAAAATGAGACGGTAGTTTTAACCGTATTGCAATAAATTTTAAAAAAGTCTGATTTTAAAAATTATATTAATAATTGTAATTAGCTGCCCTATTCTTGAGCTACAATAAAAAATAGCTTTAAAAAGATAATATTCATTTGATTTTAAATGTTAGACAGTGAAAGCGCGGGCCATGGTTAAACACAACGAGGGTCACGCGTTGGAAAACCCTGCAGTGCAGTAAAAATATTACAAAAAACCCAATTGATTGACCTAAACGGCTCATGTTACTTTATTTCTTGCTAATTTTAAAAAAAAACTTATTATATGGGTGCCGTAATAAACGATTTGAACAGGCGGGCGTACGGAGTCCTTTAGGTGTTTATGCCCGTAGTTCGTAATCAAAATGGCACAAAAAGCTATCCAAATGGTTCAATCAGCTTCTCCTGAAATTTTAATAAGAGTTGGAAAAAGGGGTGTCAGTAAGTTTTTATATCATTTTTTAAAAATTTGTTTTAAAAATTTATATATTAAAAATAAAGAGTTTCACTCTTATATGCCTGACTAAAACGACTTTTTATAGCAATCCAAAAACATATTTTCTGCTTATATAAAAAGTGTGTATATAAGTGTATTGCAATCAGGGGTTGAAAAGTCATGGGAAATAATTAATATCTTAGAGTTTAAATTTTTTTTACATTTTTTGTTAGATACTGCTGTTATTTAATCTATAAATTCTTAGAAACTTATCAACTTTTTTGAGAAAATATTAGACTTCTGGTGTCCATTATTTTAGAACTTGGATTCCAAAGACCCTTGTTATAATAATACATACGAATTCGAGTAAGATGGAAAAATAATTTGTTCCTGAAATCTTAAAGTTTATTTTCTTACTTAGTTAAAAAGTATTTTGGCATATTTAGTGTTTTAAAGTTTTGTGACAGATTAATAATAAATAATGTGTGTTTAGCACTTGGCCCCTTGAAGTCTTTTGAAACTTCTCATCTTTTATTGTCATCATTGGATTCTATCCGAAGTTATTTTTTGCGAAACATTATTTGACTATCCTAGATTTCATATCAATCAAATCAATATATTTTTACTTTAATAATACTGTATATATATGCAATCGTGCGGGACATTTACAAACAGTTATAAGCTGATGACGTGTAAAGACCTATAATGGTATAAATAATAACATGATAATAATATTAAATAACAATAATAAATATTATTAATAATAATAGAAATAAATATTAATAATAATAATATTAATAATAATATTAAATACAGTAATATAAAACAGTATAATCTATATATATTTTACTACTATAATCAAAATAAAACATTAGATAAAACATAAAATAAATAGTTTAATAACTAGGAAAGAAGAGACGAAGGAGGAGAAATTCTAGGAGAGCTTTGTGTAACAGAATTTTTAATCATAAACTTTAGAAGATAGAGTTATTGAATATGCAATAAAGTAAAATAAAGAAAATTAGGAAAAAAAAAATGGTTGAAGAGAATTAAGCAGGGGCGATTGCATAGGAAATAGTTTATTGTATATTTATTACATGTTAGATGGTTTAAAAACAATGCCACAATCTTTTAGAGCCATATACACTATATAGGATGATGAAAATTAGGGTATTTGATTGTGACTAGATAAACATTTATATATTTTTAAGTTTTACTTATAGAGTTTTGTATTTTTATTTTTAGGGTTTTATATTTTTATTTTTGTTTTATGAGATTTATATTTTTATTTCTATTTTATGGGTTTTATGTATTTATTTATGAGTTTTATACTTTTATTTTATTAAAAGTTTAGTTATAAACTTTTAATAAAATCTCCTAGGCAAAGACTTTAGGGGTAAGCAGAACAGTTATGTTAAGCAGTGTCCTTTCTTCATCTATTAGGTTGACATAGATGTAAACCTGTGTTATATTGTTTCCTGCATAGTATGTTGCATCTTCGTGACTCTACTCATAGGTTTTTACTTAAACCTCTTTGATTGTGGCTATGCAACTCTTCTTGCTATTTCCTAATGAGAATACAGCTTTAAAACTCAGTTTAATGGTTCTGAGGTTGGCTGGTAGTATGGTTCTTGAAACTCTATGGCAGCTCCCTGAAAGGCTGATTTCATCAACAGCTGTAAAATATCAGAGTTTTAACAGAGCCATGTTGCACAAGGATGCTGTTCCTGTTAATGCTTATGGTTTGCATTGTTGAGGCCACATAAGGTGCCCTAAATTATGACTTTAGGTTAATTAACAGAACTGAGACAACTGCATAGCTCATTGCTTGGCATGCCATACTCTATCTATAAATTAGTCAAGTTCTCTTTAAACTTAAATCATTCTCAAAGTAACTCAAAATATTTAGTATAAAAAAACATCCCGCCATGTAACTGTTTCAATATATCTTTCACAAATATTCATTTTCTTGAACTTGCTATCAGATTTGCTTGCTTTTTTTGTGACTAATTTAAGTTTGACTGTTCCTTCTTCAGATTCAGTATTGATGTTAAGTCCTTTAATTCACAAAGATTCTAATTGTCACATTCTTGGCTTGAGCATGTACTTACGCATCAACTTACCGATTTGTTGAGAAATCAGGTTTGAATCCTCTGACCAATCTTTTATGTGCTCCCACTTAACACCTTTTCACTTTATCGTTTTTCTCTTTGTTTTTTACTGTTCTCCTTTTCAAAATTGATTTTGAATTGAGTTTTCTCAAACACCACCTAATCATTTGTTATATTTTTTTTTATAATGACCCTAACATAGTTAACATAATTAGTTTTTTTGTGTGTGAGTTTTGTTTACTCCTAATTAGTTTTTGCAATGTCAAGTAAAGAGTCTAAAAATCAAAAAAAAAAAAAAAAATTAATTTTACTTTAAAAATCCATAATTCTCATATTCCATGATTTTAAAAGCATGTAAAGTTCCAAAATCAACTGTTGAAATTATTAAAAAATGTTATAAGGAATACAAAAATGTAAAATAAAATTGGGCAGTGGTTGAAAATCAAGATTTATTTCCAAAAAGAAGACAACATCAATAGTCAATTCAGCAAAATTCGACTCAGTCACAACAAGTTTAGCTACGAAGCTAAAATGTAATAAAGTTTTTATTCAAAGAGTATTCAAAAAAGAAAATTTGAAAGAATATTACAAAAAAAAATATCAAAAAGACCACTTGATAAAGAAATCAAGGCAATTGGATTAGCTAAAAATTTCTTTAAATTAATTATGAAAGAAAATTTATGCATATTAGAAGACAATGAACTTACTGTAAGAAAGATCACTCGATGCTTCAAGGTAATCAATACTATTATCAATCTAAACGTTATAAAGCTTCTGACAAATTTAAGTACATTTGAGTGAGAAAATCACTTTCGAGTTCCTATGTATGGCAGGCAATTTGCAGTTAAGGTTTTAAAAGCTCTCCTTTCGTAACAAATCAATATTTGACCTATATGTAAGTAAATCCTCAAAAAAAAAAACTTCCTCTATTTAAAAAGATCAAAAAAATTAATTCTTCCTCTAATTAAAAAGCAAAATTAATCAACCCTAATTTGGCCAGATCTGGCATCGATCCACTATTTCAAAAAAAGTAGTTCAGTTGTATAAGAAAAAGAGATTTTTTTGTTCCAAAAGATGCTAATCCACCAAACTGTCCTGAGCAGCGAGTTATCGAATCTTACTCGGCAATTGTGAAGGGAATATTAAGGAAAAGAAGCAAATGTGAATATATTGTTAAAAATTTCCCAGATTTATGGATTAATGCTACAAAAAAAGTGGTGCAAAGTAAAATTACAGAGATGTTGGTGGGTACTTTACAAAAAATCAAGTTACTTAGTTAAAGCTATATTTGTTTTTATTGAAATAAAAGTTATGTAAACATCATTATAAAAATAAAATCATTACAATTGGTTAAGTTGTCTTTGAGAAAACTCAATTTAAAATCGAACAGTTACAGTAAAAGGATGCAACTTTGTTGAATAATTACTCATGTCAGGTTGAGTTTAGGTAGATCAAGAATTTTGGTTCAGAACAATTTAAGTTTTGGGGCTTGAACAAGAAATCTGTGAAAGATGTACATTGCTTGAGCAGGGGCAGCATAGAAAATAAGAAAAAATGCAACCATTTGGCATATCTACAATTTGTTTTTGGATTATGTCAAAATGAAAATGAGCATAATTAGAAGAACTAGCCCAAATATGACAACGGTATTCTAGGATGAATAAAAGATTTATAGACCTAAAAACCGGATCACTATGCTGTCTTAAAGACAGGTCTCATTTAAGGTCAACTGTTTTTTCTAAGCAAAATCTAATATCATTTTTGAATCTGATAACATTTTTGACTGTATATGGCTGTCTCATAACATATCTAAACATCTGTCCAAAACTAATACTTCTATCTAGACACCATTTCTAGCCTCAACTCAACCAAGTACCCAAGCTTTTTATTATCCTTTTTTTATCCATCAGCTTCAGCCAAAAATGTGCGATTGGTACAAAATTAACCCTACAAACCCTAAAATATATTTAGGCTCTTAATAACACAAATAGAAATAAACTGACAGCATCAAAAAATTATAGAAAAATAATTGTAATGTAGCTATTAAAAAAAAGTTAATAGCAAGTGTGGCAACCTCTTGGTTTGATAACCTAAGCAATCTGTTAGGCATACAATCAATCCTATTATTGCTGCAGAGCTTTTTTAAAATATGTTTTTCTAAAATCTCTTTTGTTTTTAGGGTATTTTGCAGTCCAGTTCATCCCAAAAATGTTATATGGGGTTAAAAGAAGAGCTTTGAGGTGGCTGTGACTCTTTCCCAAAATTGTTAAGGCTTATCTGCATGTCCTCTGGTAAACTTAAGACACATAGTGACTTTTTTGTTTAGACTCTTGAAATATAAAACATGTTGGCAAAAATCTGCAATTATTCACCAGCTAGTCTTCACTCAACAGTTATTTGTTTCTTGTATCGTTAACTCTTAGCTTTTGCCATTCTAGAATAGTAATAGTGTAATAAGTATGCAGCAACCAGATTGTGCATGATTAGTTAGAGCTGTAGCAAATACTTAAAGTTTCGACTCAGGGCATTGACACATGGCCTAGAATAAAACCGCATTTTATTCAAGGCATATTTGAGTCATATTTAATGTTTCTAAACCTTTCTATCTTTCCCAAACGTTTTTAACTTTTAAATAATGAATTAAAAATTAAAACATGTGCAAATTAAGATTCAACAAATAAATGTCACATAATGCGCTTCTAGATAACATACCTACCAATAAGTTTTAATTTTTATTTCACAAACCTCAGTATTTGATGAGGTAATGGTAACGCAAACAGCAAAAAATGTTCATAATTTGAAAATCTTTTAGAATATTTTTAATTTTTTTTGCTTGATTTTTGATCTTTGTTTCATGTTAGATTTTATATATATATGCATCATGGTCAATGATCAAACAAGCTATTATCTCTATTACGATAAACCGAAACCCATTCTTGATTTGCTTCTTATTTAACAAGTTGCATTCTATTATATGCTATAAAAACTTTTATTAATCCATTTTTTTATCTTTCACGTCAAAAAAAACTATTTTTAACATGGGAAGAAAATCGGATATTTCAAGTTTTATCAAAGGACAAATTAATGCACTGCATGTAGTAGGACAAAGTCAGCGTGCTATAACAAAACAGTTAAAAATATCAAGATGTGCTGTTCAAAATGCATTAAAGGAGGAGACAGGTAGGCGTTTAAATTGCGTCCGTCTCCGCAAAACAACCAGTCGTAAGGATCGATTTATGAAAGCTGTAGTAGTACGTAGTCTGACTGCATCCTCTGCTCGCATAGCTCTAGCACTTCGTGAGAAAAGGGACAGTTATTAATTCTTGCACAGTCAGACGACGCCTAACTACAGATTTTAAACTATTTGGAAGACGACCAGCAAAAAAACTGTTATTGACAAAGGTTTAATTGGCAAAAAGGATCAAGTTCTGTAAGGCCTTGATCCTTTTTGTTCTGTAAGGTAAACCTGTGGAATGGTGGGACACAGTCATGTTTAGCGACGAAAGCACATTCCAGCAGGTCAGGGGATCAGGTTACAATTATGTAAGACATCCAGTTGGACAGCGCATGAATCCAAAGTATATGCTGAAAACAATTAAGTACCCCCCAAGTGTTATGGTTTGGGGGTGTATCTCCAGGCTTATGGATGGCACAACCAGACTGAATGCTCAGTCGTATATTGATATTTTGAATAGAAAGTTAAAGGTACATATGAATATTTCAAATACTACAATATTCCAACAAGATTCGGCACCATGCCATGTTGCTCAGAAAACACAGAACTGATTTGCGACACTGGCCATCAAGTGGAATTTAATGAAAAAGAAAGTTGCAGCACACCAACCCAAGTCAGTAGAGGACCTGAAACGTATTATGAAGGATGTTTGGGTAAAGGAAATTACACCGGATTATTGTAAAACTCTATATCGTAGCATGCCTGCACGTATTGATGCAGTTTTGTAAAACCGTGGTTTTCCAACCAAATATTAGTGCATAGATTGATAAATAACAAGGACTGGTACGTTACACATTGTGCTATATCAATTAATAAAGTTGCCAAACATTTATGTTAAAAAGTATAATTATTCTCTGTTGTGTTGAAGAAAACTTGTGAAATTTCATGTAGCCTTAATTTTTTGCACACTACTGTATATAATAAAATATTCTTACCCATCTTCATGTTTTTCTTTTTTATATAACCTACAACTTTTTAAGTCTTCAGTTAACCGTTTCCTAGCTTTCTAACCTATCCTCTACTTTAATTAACTCATAACTTAATAGTTGTTGCTTGCAACGTTGTTGGAAGTTGAAAAGAGTTTAAAAATATATAAATATGTGCTAGTATTTAATAAATAGTAAATATAAGTATAGAATTATAATATATAAAGTACTATAAATTTTTTTCTAGCACCGGCTATCAACCCCTGCTAAATCTTATAATTTTGCAGGGGCCGGGTTTGCAAAAAATCTCATTTTAAGCTGGGGCCAGGGCCCTGGTCATTTTTTAGCTGCATAATTTAGCAGTATATTTACTAAATCATCATTTGTTATTAACTCAGTCATATAAAATATTTATGACTCAGTTAACAACAAATTATGAAAATAACAAAAAAATCATTTATTATTTGTTATAACATGAGTCTCTTTTGAAGGTTGTTGTTTGTTTTTTTTTTAAATCAATTTAAAATCTATTGGTTCGAAATCATAAAATTAAACTGGTTTTACATATTAAACAAATGAAATGTTTGTTCCAAAAAAAAAGACTAATTAGTGTTAGAAAGAAATAAAAGAAAAACTTAAATAATGAGAGTAGGTCTTTATTTAATTTTTTATTTATCAGATTTTTATATTTTGAATTTAGATGCCGTTACAAAGTTTGGTAGAGTTATGCAACCGAGACTAAGTAACTTTGCAAAGAACGCGAGTGTTGAGTGTGCACCCCCTACGCCTTCAGAGTTTTTTCAACAATTAACAGTTCTTCGAAACGATTTAATAAGTGGGAAGAGCTTTCAACGACTTAAAGATATGTCTGTAAATGAAGCTACAGCAAAAGGCCTTGTTCTATTGGAATGTGCTTTTTGGGGTGTTATTGGTGAAATGATAGGCCGTAGATCTATTGTTGGATACAATCCCACTCTATGATATCAAATTAGTTAAATACCTAATAATGTAGCAATTGTATCTATTTTGCAATTTATATCAGACTTGTTTTTGTTTTTATCTGATAGTTTATTAAAAATATCGTGTTTCACATTCTGAATAGGTAACTCTTAATTGATTGATGTAGATCATGGTCATCTATAGTATTTTATAATAGATTGTTTTGGCTTTCTTAATGACGTTAAAAAAGTTGCGGTAATTTAAAAAAGATGAAATTTTAAAGAAAAATTAAGTTTGCGCTGCCATTTGACCATTTGGTGATTTTTTTTGCAATTAAAACGACTAATTAACGATACCTTCATTAAATCTTTTCATGATGTTATATCATTCGAAAAATGGGACGAAACTCTAATAAATTTAAATGCTGATGAGGCCTATGATATCTTCTTAAATAAGTTTCTTCAATATTTTAACAAAGCGTTTCCCATAGTTACAAAATTATTAAAAGAAAAAACCCTTATGAGCCCTTGGATAACAAAGGGAATTATTAAATCCTCAAAAATAAAACAGAGATTATATTGTAAATATCTTTAAAAAAAACACTACAAAATGAAACTAATTATAAAAATTGTAAACGTTTATTTGAGTCAACTTTGAGACGTTCAAAAGCTAATTACTATTCAGATCAAATAATAAAAAGTAATGGTTCGCAAAACACATGGCGCATTATTAGGGAAGTTATTGGCAAAAAAGATTTAGATAAAAATGCTTTGCCAAAAAATCTCAAATTAAATAATAAATTAGTTTTTAATAAATCAATGGTGGCTGAAACGCTAAATAACTTTTGTTAATGTTGGTAAAAGTTTAGCTGAAAAAATTGAACCATCTCAAATAAGTAAATCATACTTGACATCAACTAATGCTGTTATGCCAAATCATGAACTTAAGGAGGAAGAATTATTAAATTCAGTTTCTTTGTTAAAAATTAACAAAAGTTCCGGTTTAGATGATATCAGCAGTATGGTAATTATTAAGTCACTAAAATATATTACAATACCACTTTTACATACTTTTAATTTATGTTTAAAACATGGGATTTTTCCTGAAAAACTAAAGGGTGCAAAAGTTACACCAATTTTTAAAACAGGTGATCCTTCTGATGTTTCCAACTACAGACCGATCTTTGTTCTTAATTGTTTTTCAAAGATTCTGGACCGTATAATGTATAATAGACTTTATTCTTTCTTAAATGTAAATAATATTCTTTACAATAAACAATTCGGGTTTAAATCCGGTCATTCGACCGATCACGCAATAATTAATCTTGTGCACGAAATTTTTAAAGCGTTTGATGAAAAAAAATTTACTTTAGGTGTCTTTATTGATCTGAGCAAAGCGTTTGATACCGTAGATCATAATATTCTTCTTTATAAACTTAAAAATTATGGTATCATAAATTCTAACTTAGGCTGGTTTAAGAGTTATTTAAAGAATAGGAAACAATGCATTTTATATGATGGCGAGAAAACAGACTTGATGACGATTACCTGCGGAGTCCCCCAAGGATAAATTCTAGGACCGCTTTTATTTCTCATTTATATAAATGACTTGAGTAAATTTTCCAATATCTTAAATTCAATTTTATTTGCGACGATACTAACGTATTTTATTCAAAAATAAAGATATTATTTTTTTATTTACAACAGTGAACGAGGAGCTTGTGTAACTAAGCGAATGGTTTATACCAAATAAATTGTCCATAAATATTAAAAAAACAAAATATACTTTCTTCCATCGTCTTCATGATAAAGACAACATACCCTTACAACTTCCTAAGCTTTTTATTAATAACTCTTCTGTCAAAAGAGAGAGTTCTTTGTTCTTTCTAGGCGTTGTTTTAGATGAAAACGTAACATGGAAGGAGCACATACGAATAATCCAAAATAAAATCTCGAAAAATATAGGCCTTTTATACAAAGCAAAACAGTTGTTGAACCAAGCTTGTTTGAAACTTATTTACTTTTCTTTTATTCATTGCTATCTAAATTACGCTAACGTTGCTTGGTGCAGCACTAATGTATTTAAAAATAAAGGGCTTCTAATTAAACAAAAACACGCTCTAAGAATTATTGGAAATGTGAATCGCTTTTTGCACACTAAATTACTTTTTAATAAATTCAAAATACTTAACGTATTTCAACTTAACCTATATCATATTTTTATATTTATGTTCAAAGTAGATAATAAAATGGCACCCATTTTATTTAATTCATTTTTCGAAAAAATAAATCATTTATACCCAACAAGATTTTCAAACAACAATTATATTCAACCAAAAAAATATTATTCTGTGACTAGGTTCTCGATAGCAATCAGAGGACGTAAACTATGGAACACCCTATTGGATAATGAGTTTAAAAAAAATTTCTTTCCTTGATCAATTTAAAAAAAAAAAAAAAAAGTAAACTTTTGATAACTGACAATGAACTTGGCTTCTTCTGAAACTTTTAAATAGGAGTAATCACTTGTTTTTTACTTGATATTTAATTTATTTTTAACATATCAATTTTTGATTTTGATTTGAATCTTTACCTTCTTAAATTATCATGTTTTATCTCATTTTTATTTACTACTAAAATTTGAAATCCTACTAAAAAAAAAAACTAAAAAAAAATATGAAAAATATTTAGATATTTGTATTTATATATGTACCTTACGCGTATATTATATTGTGATAACGGATTTTTTTGGTTTTATGGTTTTTTGTTTTGTTTGTTACTTATATTCTTGTTTGAAGGGGCTTGGCGATAAGACTGAATTTGTCTTCTTCTTGCCCCAGCCGTGTATATACAGTTTTTAAAGTCTAATTTTGTAAATATTTTCTTTATGGCGAAATATATATTATATTATTCAAAACTTTATAGATAATTTAAAATTTATTTGCTTAGAATTTTTTATAAATTGCGCTAGATTTACAAGTAATAAAAATGCTTTATGGAGAGCTCGTCCTCGCCCACTTTTTGATTACTTTTTTAATTAAAAATAGTTAACTAGCCAAGTGAAAGAAAGTCTTTGTGCTTTAAGTCATTATTTTCAAAGAAAAGAACGGGGAACTGACATCATTCATTGCATGAATTTAGGAGAAACCTGAATATAAAATCCGGGCTAAGCGGCAAATTTAAAGTTTTAGTTTCACGTTAAAATGAGTTCTACTCAGCCCTAACTAAATTCAGTTTTTTTTAATTTGTACCCCTTAGGTCTATGTTTTCTGAAATAGTATAGCAAATTTGTTAATATTTTTTTTTAATATTAATCAAAAACAGGCTAGTTTGGATTAGTCCTTATGACTATTTGTGGTTGTAACTATGCTAAGCCAACAATATCTTTGTTCGGAATAGTTATTGGCCATAGCAGCAGGATTGCAGGTTCAAATCCCGGCTCCGCCTACTCAGCGTATGAGTAGTACTACGGTACGAAGGGAACTCGTCTCGATTAGCTCTGCTATTACGATGTTCCCTTCTCGACTAGTAAATAAATAATCTAGTCGAGTAAAAGAAAATAATCGTTTAAAAAAAAATCGTTTGGATATAAGAGCATTGAATAGTATGAATTTATACAAATAGACAATCAGTGTTGTCACATCTGGGTTTTTTTACCCTTGTCTAGGTTTCTGTGTCGTTGTTTTTTTTTTTCAAAATATTGTCAAATTTGAGTTTATTTTGATTTTGGGTGTTTTTATTGATATAATTAAGATTTATATTTGATTGTTGGTTTGCGCAAACGTCTTGCAAAAGTGACAGTTATAATACAATATAATTTTATAAGTAAAGTATAAAAATTTACTTAAATGGTAAATAACTATATTAAAGTTTCTTTTGTTGTTTAGAAAGATTATTTAGTTGTAATAGTTAATTTAATATATATTAGTATACTTTTAGTTAATATTATTTATGGTTTACGGCTATTTTTAACAGTGCGGCCTTTACCCACGGTAATTACGAGCAAATTCCTGTAAAAAAGAAGATCTTTTTCACGGTAACTTACTAATGTTTACATAATCTGGGTATTTCTGGGGTTTTTGGGAGGGGGAATCTGGGGTTTTCTTAAAAACCTGAAGGCAATGATTTCGTAATAATAGAAAACGATAAAATTTTGAAATGAAATGAAAATTTCACGGAGAAACTGGTTCAACAAAAGTTCTAAGTGAAGATAATACTTCTAGTTCTGCTAATAAATCAAAGCCCAACTTTCACAACGTAATAAAAAGTAACAATTTTCAAAAACAGAGTATGATTGTGTATATCTAAGTTATTCCATCTTACTTCGTATGTATGGTCTAATTAAAGCTCGCAAATCTGAAAAATCCTATCCCATGAGAATAGCCATATTAACTATCGGCACTCCTAATAATGGAATGTCTAACTTCTTAGTAAAGAAAAAATAACCTTTAACTAAAAAATAGTCTTAAACAGGTTTAATAGTCTTAAACAGGTTAAATACGTTTTAAAAAAACGTTCAAGTTTAATTTAATTTAGTAAACCTGTGCCCATCATCTCCCCTATAATTCTTACAGATCAATTGAATTAAGATGGTTCCAAAAAATTTTCTACAAAGCTTACTTTATCAGAAAAAAAGACACCTTTAAAGCTTTGCTTACACCGTTTTTATTTCTTATGGAATAACAAGATCCACGAATTAGAGAATTCCAGGCCGTACAAGCGGGATTTGTTTAACAATATCATGAAGAAAATGCTTTCAAAATTGGAATGACATTAAATCCTCCTTTTTATTTTAAATTCTAATCTCAGATATGTTAATGATAGCCACGCTAGATTTTTGAACATTCAAGAAGTAGAGCAAATACAATCTCGAACAAGCAAAACCCTACATAATCGAATTTGAACGTGAAATTAAAATTCTGAATTTTCTCGATGTAACCATAATAAATAACACCAAAATTATACATGGGTTGAAAGTTTACAGAATGGAAACAATTACAAATGTTCAAATTAAACTTCACAATTAAACGCAGTATTGATAGTTACATTGACAGGGCTCGTTTCATATGCAGTAATATACATTTATAAGGTTTGAAGTGAAAAATTCAATTAAAAGGTGCTTAGTGTTATATATACATATATATATATATATATATATATATATATATATATATATATATATATATATATATATATATATATATATATATATATATATATATATATGTATATATATATATATATATATATATATATATATATATATATATATATATATATATATATATATATATATATATATATATATATATATATATATATATATATATATATATATATATATATATATATATATATATATATATATATATATATATATATATATATATATATATATATATATATATATATATATATATATATATATATATATGTATATATATATATATATATATATATATATATATATATATATATATATATATATATATATATATATATATATATATGTATATATATAATTGTACTTCTGAATAAAAATTAATTATCAAAAAACTAAAAATCTATATGTAAAATAAATTTGTAAACTTAAAATTTTGTAAAACACCAAAACTCAAATCCAAAAATCTCCAAAAATAATTTAAAGAAATTATGAAAAACAAGTAATCTGATTAGTAAATAAAATAAAGGAAAAATTATTCTAAGAAAATGCTGCTATAAAAATTATTTTAATTGGTTTGTAGTTGAAGGTTCTTTTGATTTCGTTGCAAGAAAGTAAGTCGTCAAGTACAGCCTGCCTATACCTAAAAAACAAAAATAAAATTTTACTACTGCCCTATCAATTTATTATACATGTTCTATTTTCATTCAATTTGTAAATTCTATTTTATAAATCTACACACACTGTAAATCGCATAGCTTTTTGAACAGCCAAGCTGTAGATGTTTTGTCGATTAAATAGGTAACCTTAAATTAATCTTAAACCAATAGAATAAATTATTCTTAAACCAATATAATAACTTAATCTAAAACCAATAGAACTACGATACACATCTACACCTTAATTTATTAAAAAAAAAGAAAAGCATAACTTAAGGAAAGATGCCATCTTATTGATATTTTTTTACAGGTAATATTTACAAAAACTAATAGAAATAAATTTTGAATATCTTATCTTTTTTATAAAGGTTATATGAAAATACCGTGAAATGATATAAAGAAAATCCAAGTCTAAAAAAATATAATTTATGAAATTGAGATATAATCAAAATGCAAAAGGATTTTCAGAAATAAAATGAAGCCAAAAAATTTGTTGCTTGTACATTATTTTTGATGTTTGTCAGCACAATTTTTATAATAAAAAGCCATAAAACTGAGCAACCTTGCAAGTCATTACATCTCTGATACCTATTTTAAAATTCACAATACTTGAAGTAATCTTTTTGCGACATACAAATCCTGAATCCTTTTAATACTCCGCATCCCTGCTTGGATCATGGCTTTGCTTAAATAACTTTAACACAAAGATCAAGATTTTAAATAAGCTGATACCTGATATCAGATTACTATAATTATATATATATATATATATATATATATATATATATATATATATATATATATATATATATATATATATATATATATATATATATATATATATACACTATATATAATTATTCGAAGAATCGTATTTTTTGAAATAAAATACCATAGTTTTACTTACTACTGAGAGAAAAACTGTTAGTCTACCTGAATTATATATATTTCTTTTTACTAGGTTTACAAAAAAATAAACCTCTTAGCGGCAATAATTGCCATACATTTTCTTGGCAATCTATTTAACAACTTACCCCCAATTTATCGAAGTCAATTTTATGCCACTAGTTAATATGTTTTGTCCACGTCTTATGCATCATTTAGAATTAGTTTTCGACATTACTTTTAATTCCACCCATAAATATCCAATATGAATCTTGGATATTTATTTTACCCATAATGATCCAATATTGATCTTGTGATTGGGGAGGCTAAATCATTTTATTTAATGTTTGATCGTTCTCGAACTCAGTCATAGAACTTAAACAAGTTTTTGAAAAATATGTTTTAGATCAAATCATTTTATTTTTGAAAAAGTGAATAGCTTCTCATGAACAAATCTTTCAGAAGGTATAGCATAATTTTTTAAGTGTACAAGTAAACTATTTTTGTTATTAATCCCACTATTTTCACAAAGTCACCTGTGGCGTTCTAACCAAAACACCTTACCACTACATCCAACATGGCGTAGTGTGCGGCCGTGGTGTAGTGGTTTCAGCGCTTGATTTATAAGCAGGAGATCCAGGTTCGAAACGAGCTCTGGACATATTTTCGCGTCACGGTAAGGAAGGAGGCGTGAACTTCCTGGTTAAATGTACTTCCGCGGTGCTCTGCGACAAGACCGTTAGGTCTTCTTGGGGCACCTAAAAAACAAAGAAAAAAAAAAAAACATGTTTTACAGTCAATAATACACATTATTTTGTCATAAGCTCAACGATTTTTTTTCAAGATAAACAATATTATTTTGAAGTCAAAAAATTTAAAACATCGACACGTCGGTTCGCGTTTATAGTCATTGATGGTCCATTTTTTATGTAGTTTTGCCCACTTTAGCATTTTTATTATTCTTATGATTTTTATTAAAGCATTTTAACTAAAATACTTTTAAATTATCTAATAGTGAAAAAATAAACATAAAAAATAGTTGAATAAATAATAGCATTTTTAAAAAAATTTAATGCGATTCGAATAATTATGAACGGTTGTGTATATAATATATATTTGTAGTGTATATAATATAAAATTTAGCAAGCTTTATCAAATAATCAAGCATTAAAATGAAAGAAAATACTAATTTAACTCTTGGTAAAAATGAAGAGTACAAATATAAATTTATGGCCGATGCATCGGTATCGGTGTCCACCTCTAATATAAATAAAATATATCTTAAACGTCGTTATATATAACGGCAAAATGTATAAATTTAACATAATAGATCACTGTCATAAAGACCAATTATGACAAACAATAATTATGTGTATTGTGTAATTTATGCCTATTGAACAAATTTAATGTCAGCTGATCGAAAAAGTTGATCTGAAAATCATACTTATGCTTCCCTATCAAATAATCATAAAAAGGGTTCCTAAGTCTTTTTATAGGTGGTAGACCTTTTAAACTAACTTCAATTACATTAAAAATCTTATCTTCTTACGTTAACAAAACCAGATTTTAATTCAAATTCTTTTATTCCTTTAGACTTGACACTTTATCGTATAGAAATGTCTAGAAGTTATATATTTTAAGAATAACTTTAACATAGGTAAAGATATTCCACGCAAATGAACAATATTTTAACATTATGCGACATTCCAGTTTAACAACACTAAATAAAGACTACGCTGATTCATCTTCAAAAACAACTTTATTTTGAATGTATTATTGGTTTGTGTATTAAATATAAAGAAAAAATGAAACTTTAAAATGACATAGCACCTGAGATCAATTTATTAATTTCATGTTTCTGTTCAGTTCAGCTAAAATTTTAAAAATAAACTTAGTATTTGCAAAGATTTTAAAATATTTGAAAAGAAATTAGTCAGATTTAAGATCATCTATATTTATTGGGCAAATTAATCGGGTTATGAACCATATTATATTAAAAAACAAACTAAAATACCACATTTCCTTTAAACATTCTTTGCTTACAATACTACGCTCTACGTATAAAAAACTGAAAACATATTAAGTTTCTTTATTTAACTTATAAAAATGTTATACAATTAATTTATTTAAGCGTCACGCCAAACTATCGTATAACTGCACTTATTGAGGCTTATCACCAATCAGTCGAGGCTTATCGCCAATCAATCGACCTTTATTCCAATTATATTTTTGAAAAATTGACAAAAACATTAAGTTTATCTTCTGTAAAAATAAAACGCAGTTTTATAAGAATGATATATAAAAGTCAGTGATCGCTCCAAATAAATTTAACAAAGATAACTTTCTCAATCTTTCTTCTTTGGTGGTGCCCTAACAAACATAATCAATTTTTTTAAAAAAATACAATCAAAAATACAATAGAATACAATTTTTATAAAAAATAAACCAATACAACAATCTTTAACTCTGATAGAAAAATAATTTGTATTTAAAAGTTATATTTATTCAAAAATAAGTTGGAAAAAATAATAAAACATAGCTGCATAAATTAAAGAAATAAAGTGGTTGAAGGCGTTAATACACAAGTTTCTATTTTACGCACATAAAGGTTGGGCTGTCCATAAATGTCCGTGATTTTTCTTAACTTCCCTTCCCCTTTGTCAAACTGTCAATTTAAGGCCAACCCTTCTTATATGTCAGCTTTTGTACCTCCCTCCTAAAGTTACATTAAAAATGTGTAAACACCATTGATTTTTTTTCTGGTTAAATTATGCGTTCATATAGTAGATCTCAGTAAATTATATTATATAATAGAACAATTGATACCTCATCAAATAATTAACAAACTAATCAAAATTCTATTCTATATCTATAATATAAATTCAATCACTCAATATCTCTCATTAAGTTGTTAAAGTGATCTTGGATAATAATAACAATTGTATTTTAAAAAATGACAAATGACTTAGTGTTTTCTTTGAAGAAAATTTTATAATCCGTACGGATCGAATAACGATTGCTAAATTTATATATAAATTTTTGATAATCTATATCTAAATATTTGTAAACAATTAGATTTTAAGTCAAATGGGAGCACAATAATAAAACGTTGGAAAATTATTAATTTATTTTACGTCTCTGGAAAACTAAACAAAGCAAATATGCCATTTCTATACCACATTGTAGATTTAAAATCTGCTGGTATAAATTTAAATTTTTTTTCGTCTTAAATTGATATTATTTTGGTCTTAACACACCCTACTACTTGTCAATTCTTGTAAAACTTTTCAGTACCTCTCCCCCCTCCCATGTTTACTGACATCATTTATGGATGATTTAATAAAATTTTTATATAAATATTTACATATAAATTTATTTCAAAACAAGGTTGCGTGGACAGTGGGGTTTATCTAATAAGTAATTTTATAGTTTATAGTTAAGGTATATCAATTATATTTCTTAAATATAAAATATGAAGTCAAATTTTAGTTCATTTAAATCAGAGCCTTGCCCAAAAATAAAAGCCTTGGCCTTCAAAGAATAATACATAAAATTAAAGAACTTAAAGTTTTCATTCTTTATTTTTAAGTATTTTTGTTTTTGGCTTTCAAATATATCTACAGGTATATTTTCTTAAATTTTTTTTTTTTAAATATAATTTTTAAAATCTTATTACTACCCGTAATAGTGAATTTAAAGAACACTATATTGGAGTCTTTAGATTATGCTCATTGGCATTAACATGAATTTAAATAAAATCTATTGATAAAGTTCCTTAATTTACTACTGATTCTAGTTCTAATCAGTTCTGACATATATATAGTTGACATATATATAGTCTGACATATATATAGTTGTCAAAACACCATATTTCTATTGATTTTCACAAAAAATACTAGAATTCCGACCAAGAAAGAGCTAATTATGGAATATTGCTAATAAATGATCAGAACAGTTTATATTGTTAAACTATAATGTTCATTTTATCTAAATAACATATTAATAAAAGTCTTATTCAAATTTGGTTATCTAAATAACATATTAATAAAAATCTAATTCAAATCATCTTAAAATCTTATTCAAAGCGATCAAGATTTTAAGATGACTTTTTTTAAAAAAAGAATCTTCGGTCCGGGTTTTTTTGCTACAAACATTTATATTTTATGATACCACAAAATTTATCATTTTAATAATTTTCGTATTTTCATAATTCACAGACCAGACCATTTAATAGAAATGTTGTAGTCAACAAAATATCATACAGATGCTATAATTTTCAAGTTGACTACACCGAGTACTTAAAGTTTTGTTAATAATTTGCCTTAAAATAAGGCAAAAATTTAGGTCTTTGGTCTCGAAAATGTTTGACGCAGGCCTTGACCTTGGCCTTGTTAACAACTCAGTATCAATGTCCAACAATAAATATAAAATTTATAAATAAGTTACTTAATTTAATAATAAAAAAGATTAGGTTCTATCTAAACATGTAAAAACTCAGACCTGTATGTACCAACAACAACAGCATGATCTCTTTCATATGGTTCCAGAGTAAGTTGTTCCTGTGGTTTAAGTTTTTCAGCTTGTAGTTTTTTTACTTCTCCGGCAAAAACAGCAGCTGGTGATGCCGTAGAGTCAATGCAATTAGCCTAAAAGAAATCATTAGAAAAATTATAGTAAAAGAATAAGAATTTTTAATATTTAAAAAACATTAGGTAACTTATACCTTAATAGATATAACAAAATGACCATTATTTTTTAGAAAATTATGCGCATTAAGGGCAACAATTCGAGCTTGATCGGGTTGAGCAACATCAGCAAATATTGTATCAACCATACCTGTAATATTAAAAAACAAATTTTGTATCAACCATACCTGTAATATTAAAAAACAAATTTAATAAGTTTTTTTATTATTATATAACAATTCTCTGCAGGATTAGCAGCATGAATAGTGAAATTTTTTACATGAAAACAAAATAACAATTTAACAACCATTAGCTTTTACAAATATATTGCATTTCTATTCATTATTTAAAATGTTTACCATCCTGCAGCCATCTGTTTAAGTAAATCAAATTAAATTAATAAAATACTGTTACATAATAATTCAAATTTTGTTTTAATGGCTTAATGGATTGAATTTTTGGTCTTAAGTAAACAATTCTGAAGATAAAATTAAAAAATAATAAAATTCAAAATAAAGTCTAACCAACAAGCATTCGATATTTATGTGGATGACGAGCATCTTCTATAATTGGTATAATATTTGTACGTTGTTTTGCAACATTTAATAAATCACGGCCAGATCGATGTGAAAATTCAACAGCATACACCAAGCCCTCCTACAAAAATAAAATCATAAATTACAAGCAGTTATTCAAATTTTGATACATTTTTGACACATAAAGAATTGACAATAGAACACTAAACCATTAAAACGCTCCTTATTAATAAACTTTTCCCTAAAGTGCAGAGATATTTCCAAGTTTTTAATTTTGTCATAAAACTTAAATATTTTTATTTAGTTGAGCAGAAATTTACTTACAGGGCCTACAAGGTCTGACACATGGGAGACAGTTGTTCCAGAAGCAGCTCCTAAATATAAAACTTTTGAGCCAGGTTTCATGTGTATTTTCTCAACACCACCTAAAATTGCAGCAGCTAACTTTGACCTAAATGGATTCCAAACTCTGTATTCTGTTTTAGTACCATTTTCTTCATTCTATTTATATATGATAAAATAAACACAAAATATAATAATTATAAAAAATAATTATATATACATTTTTCATATATTAAAAACGATTCAACACAATTCTATAACAAAATTTTTTAATTGTTTAATTTAAAATGTTTTATTTTTCAGAAAAAAATTGTTAAGTCAAAATGTTTTATGCTAAAGTGTATTTTGCATTGTATGAAATATTTAATACAATTTTTAACGATATTTCAAATTTTTATATTAATTTAAATATATCAAAAATAATTTCCTTTTATAACATATTTGCCCCTGATCAGCAAAACTGCAAAATGCTTGTTATAAACCACGTTTAGATTTGACACATGCTATGTATGATAGAAGAAGCATTCAAGGAGTTGGAACAAAAGCAAAAAAAGAATTTTAGAAAAAGAAAATCAGATTTTAAAACAAGACAAAACTTTGTTAGCTATACTTTTGAGGCGTATTACAGGGTGTCTGTCAATATTTTAAAGTGGATTTCCTTGACTTTACCCTGATTTTCTACCTGTTTTCCCTAATTTAAAGTTACCCAAACTCAACTTCACTAAAATTGACCTAGATTCGTTTAGAAAAATGCTCTTTAACTGCAAAAATATAAACAATAACATAACCCACATTAAATGTATCAAGAGAAGTTCATAAAAATATCTTCCAAATAAACTTTCAATATACAACTTATTTAAGTTATGTAGATTTGATGAAGAGCCCCCTGATTTCCCTTCCCTGATTTTTCCTGATTTTTCTAAAATTTAATCTAATTTCCCTAATAGTCCCAGGCCTTGCGATAAAGCGTCAGGCGATGTGAATTTTACGTCTTCCAAAAGCGATTTTGCGTGTAGCTAGGGCTATTTGCGTCGAGCAAAATTTTTTTTTGTATATTTAAAGTATATTTAAAGATATTTTTGAGTGGAATTTTAATGAAGTAATTTACGATTATTTTAACGTTTAATAAAGTATTTTAAAAAACGCACGCGAAGTTGATACAAAAGTTTGATTTACAAAAAAATTAAATATGCTCATTATTTACAAGTAGAAAAAATTCAGATAAAAAAAAGTTTAAATCTTTTTAAGGTAACATTTTAATAAAATTATTCAGCAATAGCAAAGTTGCCGATAAAATTGAACAAAAATACTTTGTTTTAGTTTTAGATATTTAACTTAAATAATTATTTTACGGGGGTTTGTTAGGTTTTAAATTATTCCATAGATTCAAAAATATTTATTAACTGTTAGAGGTATTTAAAGTATTTAAGAGTAATTTCGAGGAAACATTTTTAAAATTGGTAAGCGCAAATAAAAAATAAATAAAAAGGAATAATATAAAAACGTATTCTACTTGATTCAATAAAAAAAAGTACAGCTATTAAAATTTTTTTTAAAAAGTAACTCGAAAAAAATTACTTAAATAATAACAATCACTTTTTTGTTAAAAGTTACCGAAACTCAACGAAGCGTGCTCAAGATCAGCTGCTGAAAAATAGAACGTCAATAGTTTTTCAAATAATTTTTAAGAATAATTTTTTCGCCGAAATATGTCTTTTATACCTATAATATTTTTATTCTAACATTTTATTTTACCAAAAATAAAATTCCTTGTAAATATTAAAAATCTATTCAAAACGTTCGTTTAAGTTTTTTAGTAATACGAGTGATTGTGCTTATCAACCGCTTTATGAAAATAAATAAATATAAAAAAATATTATATAAAATCGCTAGTAAAAATATTAGCTATTGCACAGTTTTTAATCGTACAATATTAAAATTTCCAGTTTATTACTCGCTGACTTTTTAAAAAGAAAAAATAATTATTTGAAAAACTTTAAATTATATATTTGAGAAAAAAATAATCAAATATTAGCATATTTTATAATCTTTTTTAAAATGTTTAGTTAGTGTTTTTTATTCGTTTAGTATAGACAAAACGTGTCAAACGTCGAGAAAATAAACAAATGTTTTTACATTTTAAAAAACGAAACATTCCAAAACATTTTAAAATAATAACATTTCTACATTAATGATTTAAAGTAGTTTTGCGGTAATTAAGTAAATTGGTGCAGTTAATGTGGATAAATATGAAAAGCAAATAAAAAAAATTTAATGACGTCCAAAATCACGTCGCGCTTATGCGTCCCGCAGTTTTTATTCATCACAAGGCCTGTAGTCCCCTAATTTCTTTTGCAAATATCTGAATTCCCTGACTTTTCCTTATTTTCCTTAATCTGGCAGACCCTGTATTATCAATTCCTTATTAAATTAAAAAATATTTTATGCAATTGAATAACTTTCTTTGAGTTTAGATGTATATTTGATAATCAAACATTTTTGATTTCAAAGTTTATTTGTAAAAGAAACAAAACGATATTTTGAACACATAAAATATTTTGTTGTAAAAACAAAATATTTTGTGTTGTCAGGAAACTCATTTGATCGCACTTCTTTAATTTTCATTGAACATTTTATTTGGATTGCCATGTCTGGCAAACTTGAGTTTTTAATAGCAAACTTTTTTTTACAAAAGAGTTTGCTATTTCGAGCCCTGTAAGCATGTATGTGTATGTATATGTGTGTGTATATATATATATATATATCAGGCCTTGTTACGAGATTTCGCTGCGTAACGGAAAAGCTGAACGTGAATAAATGTAACTTTACTCAATAAAGATATTTACATTGTTAAAAGTTAATTTACGTCAGTTGCGTTTTTACTTCATTGTAAATAAATTTAAAATGACATTAAAAACTATTGTTAGTCTTTGAAACGAAATAGCTTTAAATTGTACAATGTTGTTATAAAAAAAAAAATTTCAATGTTGGTTAAAAAAAAGTCTTCTTGTATTAAAATCTTATACTTATTTAAACTTAATTTTTAGGCTTTTAAACATTCGTTTTATGGTTGTTTTTTTTTATTTTTTTTTTTAAATAATTTAAATTTAACACTTGTTTATGGTTGATTTTCTTAAAGGGATTTAAATGTACTTATAACTAAACGCATAGATTGGGTTTTCCCTTTAAAAAAAAAAACGTTTGTTTTGATAAAATAAATGTTGTAAGGAAACGAAATTTACTGCTTTTTCGGCTTTGTTATTTTTTTATTTCCATTAAACTATTTTATTTTTATGTACAGTGAAACCTAATATTTTTTTTCTCAATCCAAAAAAAAAAAAATAGTGTTTTCGGTTTTCAGATGTTATAAGCAGAATTTGTTTTTAACAAATATCATGATAATTTTGAAATTTATGTATCTTATATTTATAGCTCAAGTACTAGTTTTGTTTTTAAAATAAAATAAAGATAAGTTGGGTTTTTAAAGAGTTTATTTACTGATCACGTTATTTTTAATAGGTTTGTATTTTAGTTTGTTCTAGGACGTATTGTTAATACGTCCTTGGTTTTTTTTATAAAAAAAAATTCTTTGGCAAACAGCAAAGGGAAAACCCAAACATAACATTTATAACTCGAGTTTAAAAGTATTGACGTCATTCATTAACTTGTAGTTATAAAATGAATAATGCGCTTCTGTAAATAATGAATGAAACTGTAAAATAATGGAAAAATAAAAACTTGAAAATAATGCGCTTTTGTAAGCGCATCTTTCAGACCAGTATTTGGAACTTACCTGAAACTTAACTAAAATTAAAATAAAGTTATATGTAATACGAACATTTTAAAGTAACTTGAATTGAATTTATCAAATTTTTTTTTACTTTGGTAATTTTATAAAAAAACGGAGCATTTTAAAATTAAAAAATTTTAAAATGCTTTGTTTTAAAATTAAATGAAAGAATTTTAATTAAATTTAAAAAATTTATTTACTAAAAAAAATATAATTATTAAAAAAATATTTAAATTTTAAAATAAATTGAAAATACTTCTTTTTTTAAATTTGATTGTTTATAAACTTATGAAATCTAATATTCAAAATTAAATATGATGAAAAGTTTAAACTTAAAACACTTTATTTTCTTTAAGTAATTTTTAAAAACAAAAAAAAAATTGTTAAACAAATTGTTTCTTTAACAAAAAATCTATTAGTTTACAATTGCGGTTAAATGCTTTTACTTACGACTTTAATACTTCTGGATGAACGTCACATAAACAATATAAAAAGATAATTTAAATAATCTTAAAGATAAAAGTTTTTGCGTAACGCATAACTGCTGAACGCGTAGGCAAATCGCCTTTTCACAGGCAAAATGCGAGCTGCATAACGCTTCTTAACAAGGCCTGATATATATATATATCAGTAATACAACATGGTTTTTTAGCGTAATGTCTAATTTTTTTTTTTGCTCTCTGTTAAATCTTTGTTTACATTTATTTATTTTTTCTCATTCTTCTTTCTCTGTTCTTTGCTTTCTGTTAAATCTTAACTTTAATAGTGGTTGCTTACAACTTTGTTGGAAGTAAATAATAAAAAAATAAATTAACATAAGTAACTTACATCAACAGAAATTTTCTTCTCTCCATAAACAGTATTTCCAGTTACTAGATTCAAAGTTACTAAAGCATCCTCTTTACCTCTTGCAATAAATACACCTGAATAAATTATTCAAAAAATATACCATGGAAATGAAATTTTAAGTTTATTAAAGTCTTTTTCTAAATTTAGAAAATTTAAAAATATGTATATATAAAAATGATAATTAATGCTAAGCACTGGCAAAGTTTGTCGAACTTAACCAATCAGAGTTAAACTAAATCGAAGAGCTAATACTTGTTAAACTGTAATTACAAAGTTGAACAAATAATATAACTTATTTAACAAAAAGTACTGTTAATTAAATAAAAAGTATTTAGTCCTCATATAACTTCTTACAATAAATATATTATTTGCTACTTGCTCCACCACTTTTTAAAATCGTTTAGGAGTCTGGCTTTAGTTTTTTTAATGATCGCTAAACAATTGATTTTTTCGAAAACTATTTGCGTTTTGCATAATTCTTTCTAGGCGTGTTTATGTTTAGAACACAAATAATTCTATTTGGGTATTAAATCGGCATGAAGGAATTTACGTCAGAATAGTTTCAATTCTTAACGCTTAACATAAATAGTACAAATAGTGTTTTTCCTTTAAGAAAAGTTACTCGTTTAACAATGAATATACCTTTTTTTTTTTTTGAGAAAAAAGTCCTACTCAAAACAAAAAACATTCTTAAATTTTTTCAAAGAATGTTCAAAATGACATTTACCTTACAATCATAATAAAAATAGTATCCAAAAATATATAAAACTTTTCTAATCAATACAAATGTAAATAAAAATGTAAATAAGAGTTTTAAATAATAAAAATAATAGCAAATCATTTTAATCCTTTTCTTTGAAAGGCACATAAAAATAATGCAAATTTTCTAACTTTGATAAATGCAAAATCTAAAATAAATTAGGAATTTTTATTATAAAAATTGATTTATAGAGCAAAATTCAAATTAGTATGAATGAATGTAATTAATTAATCTGTAAAATATTATTAAAAAACTCAGGAATACATAGTTGTAAAACTTTTTACATCTGTTATTTATTTATTTTATACTTTTTACATTTATTTATTTAATCCATTAACTTTAACAAAACCATTAGTATCAATAAAACTTTCATTAAATAAAGTGTAAAAATTTAATTGTAATAAAATAAATAAAATGATTAAATAAAATGTAAAAATGTAATTTAAACGAGTGTTAAAAACTAAATACTCAACTATAAAGTAACATTTTTAACAGATTTTTTAACAATTAAAGAATTTTTTAATAAATAGACCTATTAAAATAGCTAGACATCTATTAAAATAGCTTACGCATACTATTAGTTGAACACAATGAAACTAAACTTTAATTGTTCCTTACTCAAAAACTGCTAAAGAGATCTTTGTAATTTTATGATACAATGATTTTATGATTGAATTATTTATTTCAATAATTTTTTACATTTTTTATTAAACGCTTAAAATATTTTTGTGAGTATTTGACACATGTCTTTTCGATCTTGCTTTGAGTTACTTTTTTTAAAGCTGCTATCTGTTTTTCCTTAAAATCTTTTTTATCTGGAACTCTGAAATTTCTTGCGTTTCAATAAGGGGTCGTCCATAAATTACGTCACGCTATAAGGGGGAGGGGTTGATGGTTTTGTGACGACTCATTCAAAACTCGCTTCTTAAGTGTTACGATTTTGTGATGAGGGGGTGGGGGGTGTTCAAAAACGGTCAAAAATTGCATAACATAATTTATGGAGGACCCCTAAGACTCCTTTTATAATTGATCAGCAACTTTCAATAGTTTGCTGCTCAGGATAATTCGGAGAACTTGCTTCCATGTACAAATTACACATCATTTTGTTTATAATATTTTAGAGACTTCTTGTGGGCATACCACATATCACAAAATATTTTGGGCATATCACATTTTTTAATAAATGACAAAGGCATTTCTTTAGGTACTTCATTTGTAAACAAATTTACGCTCAAAGTATTAAAAGTAATGTATGGAATATTTTTCAAAACATAGAAGCTGATTGCTTGCCATATAAGGAAAACGGGATCAAATTTCTCAGTTTTTATATACTTGAATTTTTGACAACATAATTACCTTTTGACTGATAAAAATTATGCTCATCTAGTAATTGTAAAAATTTCTTTTTGCAATAGGTTCATTATCTTTAATTATATACAAATTTTCAAAGTTTAAAATTTATATAGCTTTTTTGTTAGATAAACTACTTTATTTTCTTTATAGATGGGTTGAATTGTAGTTTTCTTTTTATATGCTTTATGTTCTTGAAGTCTAAGTACTTTTCCTTTTAAAATATGGCTGAATTTAAATTTTTTCTAATTCTATTATTTATTTTAATAGATTTTCTGTTTATATTGCTACAAAATAAATGCAACTGTGGATGGAGAAACACAAATCGATTTTGAAATGCTGACTTGTGGCAATAGAGAACTTGAAGAAAAAAAATTATGAAATTGTTTTTCCGACTTGATAACAATAATAATCAATATATCACTTTTAGAATCAAGCACCAGCACACTAGCTTACATATTTAAAAAAATTTGAAAAGTAGTTTTTAAATATTTAACGCATTAAATTAACAATTTAATGTGTTAAATGTTAATTTAATTCGTTAAAGGATGAACTTCATTGCATTCAACCAATATGAATTTTTAATCAATTTGGAAATCCCATGCCACACATGTAGAACTGCTAAAAATATATTACACACTAAATAACTTTAACCAACCTTCATGTCTATGCGGTTCAATAACAGTTTTCTTTCCTCCTCGCATGCCTAAAAAAAATTAGTTAATTTTTTTATAAACATTAGTATATATAATCATACATGAACAAATATATAGGTCTTTAAGATGCAAATGCATCAAGCATCATACATAGAAATAATATATTTAGAGTTTCTTGACTATGAGAGTAATGCAGAAAAATATATTTATATAAACAATTAGTATTTTAAATAAAATTTTTATTTAACATCTTTCTGTTACTGTTAATAAAACATTAATAAATATTTTTTTAGCTACAAGGTACAAAACTCCCACCACATAGTTTTGTAAAGGACTTAAAATAGTATGGTGAAATACATTTATTATTTCTTATTTTGGTCGAATAATAAAATTTTCAAGGTTTTCATTTGAAACTTTTTTCTTCTTGAATAACCTACAAGGTTGAAAACATTATTACAACTATTCTTAAAAAAAAACATATTTTAGTTGAGACAAATTCAAAAATGATTATTTATGATATAAAAAGGTCTAAAAAATTAAACATTCAACCAGTAGTAAATTTATGTAACCAGAAGTAATTCTTTTTTTGTTTAAACAGTAGTTCTTTAAAAATTTACAAAAAAAATTACACCAGTCTTCATAACAATACAAAATGTTTTTAGTAGTCTTCATAAGACAAAATTATTTCTTATTAGGCGTGTAATTAATAAAAAGTGTGCAGTGACATATCCAATAGTTAGGCACACAGTTAAAAAAAGTTTCTCACATGTCAATAGAAATTATATAGGTACCAGTATGCATCGCATTTATTATTTAGAACTAAATTGTGTTATTATATTTTTTCTCTTGATGAACACAAATAAGCAACAATTAAAAAATTATATAGATTTATAGATATTAGCCATGTATATCTTGTTTATGGTTTAATATTTGAATACTCACAGATTTTTTTAAATCCTTTAACAAGGAATGGCAATTTTATCCATCAAAGGTAAACTGATACTACTTATATGTGAATGAAGGAGCCGTGGTTGCTATTAATTTGCCAAGTATCCTTTTTTTTGAAAACTTGTATCTCAGACAAAACTGATTGAATTTTTTAGTTATGTTTTCACTTAAACAAAAATTATGATAAATAACACTTGAACAAAAATTATGATAGATGGTTTTTTTCTCTTCATCGATAAACAATCAAATGCTTTTTTTCTTTTCATCGATAATGGATCAACGCTAGATTTGCAATAGAAAAAACAGCAAACATTAGCTACGGTTTTACATACATAAATAATGTACGTATAATATATATATACGTTCTAATATATATATATACATATATATATATATATATATATATATATATATATATATATATATATATATATATATATATATATATATATATCAACCCTCAGAATTAGGGTCGGCAATAATTGGCCAAACTCAATCTATTAAAGTTGGCAAAAAAAAATTGATAAAAAGGTCTTACCACAAAACATAGAAACGCGATCAACATTTTTTTGATAACCTCAAACACTTTTAGGTCACCTGTAAAGTCAGCATTGCCGAATGCCGACTCTAATTTCGAGGGTTGTGTAAGTCTTTTATCTACATCTATCTATCTATCCATCTATATCTATATCTATATATCTATATCTATATCTATATATATATGAACTAAATGTATATATATAGCCTTGGATGAAGCATGATTGATGACATAATGAAAGGATTGTTTAGGCGGTAGGTCTTAACTTTCCTTTAAAAAGCATCTGGATTTTGGCTTTCTTTAAAATATGTAAAATATATAAAAAATAACGCATATTTAAATACACCAAAGTATGCAATACTTTTAAATAACAATTACTGAATGTAATAGAAATGAATTAAATGAAAAGATAAAAATTTACCTCCACGTCCACCTCTTGCTCCACCTAAATAATTTTAAAAATTTGTATTTTAGACAAAGCAAACAACTTATACTTTACATTGACAGAAAACTAAAACAAAAGTTTATAAATAGATTATGGTTGATACGATGTAATGTTTTAGTGCAGTTTTGAAAAAGTGATTACTTTTAGTCATTCATTTTTTTGCAAGAACTACATTGAGAAAAAAGTCTCTAAAAGTTATTTTAACAAAAACTCACAAGCTTACTTTGAAATTAAATTATTAAGATCAAAATAATTGTAAAAAGGGTGTAAAAATTAAATTTAATATAATCAATAAATGATTACCTCTTCCTCTTCCACCTCCACCTCTTCCTCCACCACCTCTACCTCCTCTATCACCTCCTCCACCTCTTCCACCTCCACCTCTTCCACCTCCACCACGTCCAAATCCACCACCACGACCACCTCCAAATCCTATGAAAAAAAGAATTACATTTTTACAAATTTAATGTTTAAAGGTCCTATAAAAAGAAATATATATATATATATATATATATATATATATATATATATATATAAACAAATAGTAAGCTATAATACCTGGTCTGCCCATATTTTTATTTGATTAAGGTTTTCTTTTATTAGTTATTGTTTCCAATTTTGGTTTTATGGAGTCTCGTGCACTAGAGTATCATGCGTTGTATGAATTGTTACGTTACAGACGAATAAAAATTACGTTTCTGCGTTTTAAAAAGAAAACGCAACATGCTGCGTTCACCCGCGTAGGCGTTTATAGTTCTGATACGTCAAGTTAATTGTACCAAATCTTTTTTAAAAAACTTATAATTTATTAATTATATACATAGTTATATAATTTATAACAAGAATATATCACTACCGTGGCCACCAAGGGGGTTTCAGAGGACATGAGCCAACCCATTTTTTTCTAAAGGACATTTTTTGTTGTCGTTTAGAAATATTATGATATAGAGAATTTTTTTAAAAAAATTGACGATTGCATCCTCTCTCTTAGAAACCCGTGTCGTCGGCTCTATTCATAAATTCTAATATAATATAACCTTGATAATATAATATGATATGATACAATATAATGATACATAGTTTTAATATGATAATATATCTTATATATGATATAATATGGTATAAAAATTTTAATATAAAAATAAATTGATTGGTTTTTCAGAAATGTAAAAACTATTTTTTTCAAGAATTAAAAAGCTCTTTTAAGTGTTCGGGTTGAATGAGTTACTCAATCTAAAATTGAAAACACTAAAATGTTTGTAAATAATTTTGAAAACAGCTTCATAAGCGAGAGGTTCTGAGTTCGATCCCCAACACGTCCCTGGTAGTACCGCGCTCAACTTGTTTCTCCGCGCGGCTATGTTCGTCAAGGTTCGTGTTTCGGTGTTATAGAGTTGAGAAAGGGTTATAACCACAATAAAGGGTTATAACCACAATAAAGTAGACCTTTTCGGCATTGAGGAGGTGAATTAACAAAAAGAATTAACAAAAAGAAAAAAAGGTTCATTTAAAAACTTGATTAAAAGTGTAGACATTAAAATATATAATTTAGTGAGTAATTGACCTCAAATTTTATTTAGAAGAGAAGGCAGGCTACAACTTTTTGAGTATTTGTCTGAAGCAATCCATATTTCGCATGCCAAGTTTTAAGTAAACCGATTTTACAACATTTATTTATTAACTATATCAGTTTGTAAGCTGTTTTAACAACCATGCGTTGCAAAAATATATGCTGTATCCGAAATGTAAAATCCATAATTAGTTTGCATAACTGCAAGACTTTACAAGATGATACAAATTAGAATATAAGAACCTTCAACTAAATTATAAAAACCGCTTGCCCGTTAAACAATGAATGTTAAATAAATAATACAGTTAATTGTACTACTGTAATTACGGAAAATCCTTAAAGAAAAAGTATATATTGGTATCAGTGAGATATTCAATTTAAGTTAAGATACGCAATTATATATAATACTATTCAAGTTAAGATACGCAAATTATTTAATATCTTTTAACGCGGTAAAGTATAAAAATGTTACCGAATTTTCTATGGAGATTTGGATTTTGAAAAATAAGGCAATAAAACATAAAAAGAAGTGTAACTAATAACTAAAATTTGCAATCTCTGCTTTGATAAAAAAATTTGAAATATTGTATCATAAGTGGAAAATAATTTTCAATAAGATAGTTGAAATTATATCTTAGTGTAGAGATAAATTTTTAAATTTTTCTTTAGAAACTAGAGACTTAAAGATTACGTCTTTTTTACATTACGTCAGAATTCCTTCTAATGTAATTTTTAAACAATTTTTTAATGATTTTTCTAACGATATATATACATGTATATACATATACATATATATATATATATATATATATATATATATATATATATATATATATATATATATATATATATATATATATATATATATATATATATATATATATATATATATATATATATATATATAGATATATATATATGTATATATATATATATATATATATATATATATATCTTATGCTTTTATATATATATATATATATATATATATATATATATATATATATATATATATATATACATAAATCTCATGCTTTTTTAATATATTTTTTTAAAACTTACATAAATTTTTTTTGTTAGTTTTAATTTGTAAAAATTAAAAATAAATTTAAACTCTCTAAATAGTATAATTATCTTTAACAAGGTACTAATTTTATATCTGCAATCAGACTAAAGCTATAAACTCAAACCCTGCAAGATAAAAAAGGGTTGTCCTCAAGCAAACAGGAGATTTGATCTCGTATGCCTAGATAACAAGTGTTCCATGGAGGTTGGAAACAACTGTTTTATAAAAGAAGTTCAGAGAGTTTGAAAGAGGACTGGATTTAAAAATGCAATTCAAACTATTCTTCCATTAGGTAATATTTGGTTTCGGTGTAATACTTATCATTTTTACATCTGTTTCTTTTTAATCTTTTTAACCTCTAAAAAGCAAATCTTATTCTTTTCAGAATAAGTTTTGCAAGTTTCAGAAAAAGATAAATCTGCAATGATTATAAAAAATCTACTATGACTGTCATAAACCTACGATGACTATCAAAAGTAAATTGACAGTCATGATAAACAGTTTTTTAAAAAAATTATTTTTTTTATAAATTTTAAAAAGAGGATATGCCATGATAGTGATCATTAAAAGTATAAGAAGACCTAACCCTCTTTGCGGATTGGAGAATAGAAAAAAAAGCAATAGTTTTAGGGGAAGATAAGGATGGATTGAAAGCGATTTCAAATATTTCTATGTATGTAAAATAGGCTTTTAATAATTTTTTCTGTTGTTATAATCCTATTATTTTTTTTTTAGATTGAAAGGAAGCTTGCAAACTTAAATCAGATTGAAAGACAGAAGAAGTAAGAGTAGAAAAGACACAGTTCAGAAAAAAAATGTACCTGTTACAGAAGAAGCTAAGGTCTTTTTAGAAATTGAAAATACATAAATCTCATGCTTTTTTAATATATTTTTTTAAAACTTACATAAATTTTTTTTTTTATTGTTGATAAGTATTAGGTTTATAAAAATGATTCAAATGCATTCAACATATATACGATTTCATTTCTAATAAAATGGTGATTTTATTAGAAATGAAATCGTATATATGTTGAATGGCAAAAGGTTAATGTTGCATAAAGACACTAAACTTGTGAAGCTAATTTGTGAGCAGAAAAACATCTCTATTACAAATGTTAGAGTGACATTGTCTCCACTCCGTATCCGGGCCAGCCTTAGGCAAAGACAAACTAGACACATGCCTTGGACTTTTGATGGGTTGAAAGTCTTTTAGATCTAGGATTTCTCAATTGAGAAAGGTTCAATTAAAAAGGAAATCTTTACTCGTTGAAAAAACAATTTTTAAAATTTTGCATCTAATTTATCTTTTCTTTGGCGTTTCAACACTGCAATGGCAGATCTTAAAACCTCATCTACAAAATCTTAAAGTAAAGTCTATTTCCGATATATGCAAAGAGCACAGGATTGACAGTGTGAAAGCTGTTTGTTTTCAAATAGCAGCATTGTAAGATGCATTGGTGGAAATAACTAAAAATATTAACGATCCAATAGAATAGACCGAAGCAACTCAGCTGGAAAATTATTTTACATTTTTAGGGTAGTTTAGCCATCAAATGCGATTTGATATTTTCAATTCAAATTGAGGCAACCAAATAACATGGAATTTAACATTGCTCCGGAATGAATAAAATGTGCACTTGAGTTTATGGAAAAAAAGTAAGAAAATGATTTGTATCAGCTCAAATATCAACCAAGAATTAGAAATGGAAACAGATGAAATAACATTTCCAGTTTCTTTTTCTTTTCTTCATTTTTTTAATTTTTCTTTCTGATTATGTAATATAATAAATTTTAATAAAGAGCCTTTTTTTATTTATTCAAAATAAGTTTTATAATATAAGAATGAATAAGATTCATAAAATACATATAGTAAAAGTTACAAACTTTGTTCGCGTTAAAATAAGAAGAACGCGGATACTCGCAGAAGATCATAAGATCTTGTCATCGAGAACCGCCTAAACAGATTTTAAATAAAAAATAATCTTCGAATAATTCATATATAAATATTCAAACTTAGATAAAAATATAATTTTTTACACATTTAATTCTATAAAAACATACAAATATATATACTTACACAAACACGCATACCCACATACACATACACATACATACACATACACACACACACATATATATATATATATATATATATATATATATATATATATATATATATATATATATATATATATATATATATGTATATATATATATATATATATATACATATATATATATATATATATATATATATATATATATATATATATATATATATATATATATATATATATATATATATATATATATATATATATATATATATACATATAAGTTAAGAAAAAAGATTTCATATATATAATTTACGATAAAAAGATTTTTCAAGAGTATTAATATAAAACAAAACAAACTTAAAAATATATAAGAATGTTTTCAATTGAGAAAAGAATTTTTTCATCTTTCTTTTAAATAAGAGAAAGCTCCATTCTTGAGAAAAATCAAAAATTTTTAATACTACTTTGTTCCATAAAAATGCTCCTCTAAATGAAATGCAAAAGTTACCAAAATTAGTTTTGAAAACTGGTTGAAGAATAAAATTTTCATTACGCAAATTGTATTTATTTTTAACTTTTAAAGAATATAAATTGTGAAAAGAAATTGGAGATGTGCGTGTTTTACATTTAAACATAAAACACAATACATTAAAAATATTAAGTTGATATATATTAAGAATATTCATTTCGTTTAAAAGAAGCTTAGCATGATAAAAATGATTTTTAAAATTAATAAGTTCTAATTTAGTTTTGCTAACACTACCCCAAGCCGCATTAGCATAGTTTAGATGGCAATGAATAAAAGAGTGGTATAACTGAACTAAAGTATGTTTAATAAAGTAAACTAAAGTCTATTTAGCATATTTCTTATTTTGAATAGTATTCCTATTCTTTTGGAAATTTTAGATGATAAGTTTTCAATGTGTTTTTTCCATGTCAGATTTTCATCAATAAAAACTCCTAAAAAATTTGTAGCCGTTACTCTTTTAATTTGC